CCTCCACACACCACTTCACTGACAAAGGCCAAGAACAGGCCTGTTCGCGTGGGCATGTGCCACGGCAGGGGTTGTCCCCAGAGTGTGGTGTCGCCTGTTGTGTATGTCTTCGTGTGTCCCATAAACTCCTTAACGGTGATGGGGTTGTCGCTGCCCAAGATATACACGCCTTCAGACGGGCACAGATTGGCTAAGATGGATTCTGCGGAGAACGGGTGAGAAACCGTACAACAGGTGAACACACACACACACACACACACAGCAGAGCTGGTGCAGGCCAACAACCACTGGGACTACAGCTGATGGTCTGCACAAACGCATGTACGCGATACAATCCACACACAAACAGGAAGCACAGCTACAGTACGCAGAGTACGAATGCTGCTGAATGCACACGCATAGGTATCTGGTACAACAGTCACGCACATGACTCCACTGATTCATTCGTGCTCGACAACAAGCAGCAACCCACCACGACAGCCTCGTACATGTGCAGACTGCAGAGACGTGGAGATACATCCATCCAGCAATCACACGCAGAAGAAATACTCTGTGCGGACGATACCCTCTGTGCAAGCAACAGATACACTGTGCATGATCCAGGTGCATGATCCAGGTGCATGATACATGTCATTTTACAGGTGCATGATCCAGGTGCAAGATACAGGTGCATGGTCCAGGTGCATGATCCAGGTGCATGATACAGGTGCATGATTCAGGTGCATTTTACAGGTGCATGATCCAGGTGCAAGATACAGGTGCATGAGTCCCTCCCTTACCCGCGGCCAGTACATGTCCCATAGCCACATCCTCCACAGACACAAAGTCTACCAGGTTGTCGCCTGGGCCAACGTAGAACGACAGCTTACCAGCTACCAGCTTATCCATGAGGGACTTATCACCCACACCAAACATTGCTGCAACAACGAATTAGCGTGTGAAAAGTGGTGAGACGTTGTTTAGAATGCTTTAGTACATATAGGGATTTATCTAGCTGTACGTTTATATATACAGACACACCCCCTCACGGTGCATGCTTTAAATGAGTAGCTTGTACAGTGGAGGATATCCCCCGGGGTGCTGCGGCAGGATAGCTACGAACACATGCGTGTGAGGGTGTATGTATGCACATACAGCAAAACAATAGTATGTCAGTATGCAGCCAGTAAGAAACAAGAGAGAAGGTACCAGATACTGCGTGCTGTTCTATAAACAGTACATAAACACACATGGCAAAGTGAGTAGTACTTTCGTGTACTAGACAAACACTTACATACAGCCAAAGAAGTGCTATTTAAGAGTGAGAAGTATTCAAACACACATTACGAAGGCAGTGGTACTTTCGTGCGAGTGTCGTGTGAGTGTCGTGTGTAGTGTATAGTGGTGGTACTTCGTGTGAGTGTCGTGTGTAGTGTGTAGTAGTGTGTAGTAGTGGTACTTTCGTGTGAGTGTCGTGTGTAGCGTGTAGTAGTGGTACTGTCGTGTGAGTGTCGTGTGTAGTAGTGGTACCTTCGTGTGAGTGTCGTGTGTAGTGTGTAGTAGTTGTACTGACGTGTGAGTGTCGTGTATAGTGTGTAGTAGTGGTACCTTCGTGTGAGTGTCGTGTGTAGTGTTTAGTAGTGGTACTTTCGTGTGAGTGTCATGTGTAGTGTGTAGTAGTGGTACTGTCGTGTGAGTGTCGTGTGTTGTGTGTAGTAGTGTGTAGTAGTGGTACTTTCGTGTGAGTGTCAGGTGTAGTGTGTAGTAGTGGTACTGTCGTGTGAGTGTCGTGTGTTGTGTGTAGTAGTGTGTAGTAGTGGTACTTTCGTGTGAGTGTCAGGTGTAGTATGTAGTAGTGGTACTGTCGTGTGAGTGT